CTTTGAAAGATTCAAGACTTCAGTAGATGAAGTAACTAACCGCAGATGCAATGGAAATAGCAGAACAACTGGAATTGGACATGGAGCCTGAAGACATGACTGAATTGCTGCAATCTCATGATAAAACTTGAATGGATGAGGAGTTGCTTCTCATGGATGAGCAAAGAAAGTGGTTTCTTGAGATGAAATCTACTCCTGGTGAAGATGGTGTGAACATTGTTGAAAGGACAACAAGGGATTTCGAATATTACATAAACTTAGTTGTTAAAGCGGTGGTAGGGTTTGAGAGGATTGACTCCAATTTTGAAAGTTCTATGGTAGGTAAATGCTGTCAAACAGCAGCACATACTGCAGAGAAGTCTTTCATGAACAGTGGCAAACTTGGTGCGCAGGTTATTGATGTGGCAAACTTTATTGTTTTATTTTAAGAAATGACCACAGTCACTCCAATCGTGAGCAACCACTACCATAATCAGTCAGTATCCATCAATACAGACACAAGGCCCTCCACCAGCAAAAATGATTACCGCTCGCTGAAGTCTCAGATGATCATTAGCGTTTTTTAGTAATTAAGTATTTTTAAAGTATGTCATTAATTTTTCTTAGACATAATGCTATTGCATACTTAACAGACTACAGCATAGTGCAAACGTAACTTTTATATGCACCAGGAAATACTTCAAATTGTGACTTTTTTATTGCAATATTCACTTTATCATGGTGGTCTGGAACCAAACCCAGAGTATCCTTGAGGTATGCCTGTAGTTAAGAAGAGGCCGTACTTGAGTAGGATTGGTTCCTAATCCAATATGACTAAAGTCCTTGTAAGAAGATGGCCATGTGAAAATATACACAGGGAGAATGTTATGTGATGACAAAGGCAGAGATTGGAGTTATGCAGCTGCAAGTCACCAGAAGCTAGGAAGAGGTGAGGAAGGATTTTCCTATAGGTTTCAGAGGGTGCATATAGTCAAGCTGATACCCTGGTTTTGTACCTTCTAGCCTCCAAAGCTCTAAGACAATAAATTTCTGGTGCTTTGTTATAGCAAGTTGAAGAGACGAATACCCCTGATGACTTAAAGGGTGTTCCAGTATCCAACCAAGAACCCAGTTAGCTCATGAACACACCTGACCTACTCCTCATTCTGCATCCTCACATTCATCGATAACCTGCATGGTGCCCAGTCACGTGGGCTGAAGGCCAAAGATAATACGTTTGCAGCTGCTTCTGTACGCCTTGGAAATCTCAGAGAACACCCTGACTGACTCACAAAGTGAATACTTTTTGAATTTGCCAACATCATGTTAAGTTTCTGGGAAGCTAATAATTGTATATTTTTCTTCATTTTGGAGGGGCTGTGATTCACTAAGAAAGTATGAACTATGTTGGTATCATGTAACTGTATTTAGATTTGTCTAGCTTGTGGGAAAAACTGTAAGAGCTCCAGACAACTGTAAATTATCAATGAATTAGTCTTTTGTCCCAATTTTTATTTCCATATTTAAGCATATTACAGTTTATCTAATTTTGGAATATCAGTTGCTTCTTGGCTTGAAAGAAAATGTAAACCAAATATATGGTTTACTCCATACTCATACTCTTATTTCAAATGTTATAGTAGAATAACAGGAAATGATTTTATCTTTAATGAAATCTTGAAGTATGATTTCTTTTTGAGACAGGATCTTTTACTCTGTCACCCAGGCTGGAGTTCAGTGTTGCAATCACAGCTCACAGCAGCCTCAACCTTCTCAGGTTCAGATGATTATCCCACCTCATCCTCCCTGAGTGAGTTATGTTTCCCAAATACAGCACACCGATGGGTCTTGACTCTTTATCCAATTTGTCAGTCCATGTCCTTTAATTGGGGCATTTATTCCATTTACATTTAAGGTTAATATTATGTGTGAATTTGATCCTGCCATTATGATTCTTGCTGGTTATTTTGCCCATTGATTAATGCAGTTTCTTCATAGCAATGATGGTCTTTATAATTTGGTAGGTTTTTGCAGTGGCTGGTACTGTTTGTTCCTTTCCATGTTTAGTGCTTCCTTCAGGAGCTCTTGTAAGGCAGGCCTGGTGGTGACAAAATCTCTCAGCATTTGCTTGTCTTTAAAGGATTTTACTTCTTCTTTGCTTATGAAGCTTAGTTTGGCTGGATGAAATTCTGGGTTGAAAATTCTTTTCTTTAAGAATGTTGAATATTGGCTCCCATTCTCTTCTGGCTTCTAGGGTTTCTGCAGAGAGATCTGCTGTGAGTCTGGTGGGCTTCCCTTTGTAGGTAACCTGACCTTTCTTTCTGGCTGCCCTCAACATTTTTTTCTTTATTTCAACCTTGGTAAACCTGATGATTATGTATCTTGGGGTTGCTCTTCTTGAGCAGTATCTTTGTGGTGATCTCTCTATTTCCTGCATTTGAATGTTGGCCTGCCTTGGTAGTTTGGGGAAGTTCTCCTGGATAATATCCTGAAGAGTGTTTTCCAACTTGGTTCCATTCTCCTCATCACTTTCAGGTAACACCAATAAAACATAGATTTGGTCTTTTCACATAGTCCCATATTTCTTGGAGGCTTTGTTCATTTCTTTTCACTCTCTTTTCTCTAATCTTGTCTTCTTGCTTTATTTCATTGAGTTGATCTTTAATCTTCAGCTGTTGATACTTGTGCATGCTTCACAAAGTTCTCATCGGGTCATTTATGTTCTTCTCTAAACTGGTTATTCTAGTTAGAAATTCTTTTATCCATTTTCTTAGCTTCCTTGCATTGGGTTAGAACATGCTCCTTTGGCTTGGAGGAGTTTGTTATTACCCACCTTCTGAAGCCTACTTCTGTCAATTCATCAAACTCATTATTTGTCCAGTTTTGTTCCCTTGCTGGCAAGGAATTGTGATCCTTTTGAGAAGAGGCATTCTTGTTTTTATCCTTTTGAGAAGAGGCATTCTTGTTTTTGGAATTTTCAGCCTTTTTGTGCTGGTTTCTCCCCATCTTCATGGATTTATCTACCTTTTGTCTTTGAAGTTGATGACCTTTGGATGGGGTCTCTGAGTGGACATGCTTTTTGTTGATATTGATACTAATTCTGTTTGTTAGTTTTCCTTCTAGCAGTCAGGCCCCTCTGCTGCAGGTATGCTGGAGTTTGCTGGAGGTCCAGTTCAGACCCTGTTTGCCTGGGTATCACTGGCAGAGGCCACACAACAGCAACGATTGCTGCCTGTTTCTTCCTCTGGAAGCTTTGTCCCAGAGGGGCACCCAGATGCCAGCCAGAGCTGTCCTGTATGAGGTGTCTGTTGGCCCCTACTGGGAGGTGTCTCCCAGACAGGATACAGGGGGGTCAGACACCCACTTGAGGAGGAAGTCTGCCCCTTATCACAGCTCAAACATTGTGCTGGGAGCTCTGCTGTTCTCTTCAGTGCTGCCAGGCAGGGATGTTTAAATCTGCTGAAGCTATGCCCACAATTGCCTCTTCCCCCAGGTGCTCTGTCCCAGGGAGGTGGGGTTTTATCTATAAGTCCCTTACTGGTGCTGCTGCCTGTTTTTCAGAGATGCCTTGCCCAGAGAGGAGGGACTCTAGAAAGGCAGTCTGGCCACAGAGGCCTTGCTTAGCCACAGTGAGCACCTGACCATCAGAAACCGATCTCAGATGCATGAATGAGTCCAGCTCTGACCAGAATTCCTCAGCTGAGCCCAGCCCCAATTGCTGGTCTCTGAAGTTTGAATGAAATAAAGGTTGGTTAAGTACCTAAATAAAGATAAGGTGGCATGACATAAAAAAAAAGGGAAAACTAATTCAGTTTTTGAAAAGGCCCCCAAAATGCAAACTGACTCTATGTAAAATATTATACCATCAAATTTCTCAAACAATCCTGATAATTTTAGGCCCTCCATTTTTATTTAACTTTTATGAATATTTTTTGTTCTTCTTAAAAAAATATAAAGGTGATCTTGTTGGAACAAAATGTTTCTCTACTGAGTTATTTGCAGTATAGGAAATCACAGCATAGATTTCCGCACCAGCATTCTCGACTCTGCTGTGAGTTGACCTCTGTCAATAAAAGTGGGGGCTTACTCTTCAAGTCCTTGACCTTTGGAATAATAATGACTTGTGGCCTAGGCTAAATTTCTATTAGTGAATAGGCAATATTTTTAAGCAACCTCTCAAGCTGCTAAATTATACTTTTAATTCTCTCTTAAGTGGATTCAACATGTAATATGCTGCTTATGGTTTGCCTCCAGTGGCATAGATCCCATAGTCAACTTTTGGAGGATTCGACGTTTTGTTGAATCCTTCAGGGGAAGGCCTGGATATGCCTCACATGTAAATTCTCTGTTTCAACTGTGAAACAGAAAGAAAGAAGAGTCAAAGTAGCTTTCTGTTAGACACAACATTTTAGCCTCCTGAGCAAAACCTCAGAGAAATCTGGACTCCTAAAAAAAAAAGAAGTTTCACATGGAAAATATGAACCAAGCAGAATCATTTCTAATTGAGACACATGAAATTTTTAACCTTGTAATATTTTTAACTTGTGATGTTTCACCTATGATCCCAAGATTTCCATTTCAAGTATTTACTAGATAATATGAAAGAGCAGTGGGTCAACATCATCAATTTGGTGGCAGAGTCTCATAAAACAAAGGGCATCTGCCTATTAATAACCTCATGCTATAAAAGGTGTGTGTGTGTGTGTAGTAAGGAGTTCTTTATTACCAGCAAAATTTATTGCTAAAGATTCTAAAACTGGTAATTAATAAACAAAGGTAATTACTTGGCAGCCTAACAAGATTCACACATTCAGAACTCTTGCAAATTTAAGGCACCTGCTAATGGTTTCCAGTGTAACAGCAGATCAGGGAAATAGATTTAAGAGTAAATAAGTTGCATCATTGAAATTTCTTGTTTTTCTTTTTTCTTTTTTTATAATTTTTTTTTTAACTTTGTCATCATGAAGTCTCCTGTCTGAGAAGGATATAAAAGAATTTACTGGGTTTTATTTTTTCCCACAGAAAGCAAAATGGATCTGGAGTGGCCTATGAAATCTGGCAAATCTTCACCAATACTCTATTTCCATTTCCTGCCTGGAAACAGCTACATGAAGGTATGACTTTGAATTGTTTTGCAAGGCCAGGTGACCTGCAGCTGGCTCATGGTCAATTGCTAGAGCCTCACTGGAGATGTAAATACTGTTCATCTCTGCAGTTTTGTGTTACATAGCTAAAGACCACAAATATGTATGTAATGCATCTGAGAACACCAGTTCATTGACTGTCACATATGCAGCATATGGATACAGAATGACAATTATTTGCAAGGAAAACCAATTTAATGACAGAGAAACAAATACATAGTGGTTATGAGCTCTCGATTTTGTGTCTAAAAAATGGATTCAAAATTTTTTGTGCTATTTATTAGCTGCATCTGTTTTCCTATCAGTGCAATGTACATAAGGCTCTTGGGATGGGGTTATTGTGTAAGCTAAACAAAAAGAAGTATGTAAAACATTTGGCATGGTGCCTAGAACAGAGTAAGACATCAACTAGTACCTGCTACTAGTACTGATGTCAAAGGATGTGGCATTCTATTGTCTGGCTCCTCTCAAAAGGAAATTAAAACCTAAATTTATCTCATGTCAGTATCATCTCATATGACTGAGCCCAGAAGGCCACTAGGAAAACAAAATGGGAAAAAAACAGTGTCTGACTTGTAGCTCCAGAGGACCAGTATTTAGGTTTGGGCTGTTTGGTGCCTTTTAATCTGACCAACGTGGTGCTTCACTAGCATAAAACTTTCTCCCAAGGTTTTCATTTGCAGAAACAAGAAGACCCTTGAGACCAATAACTCATTATTTATTTTTAAATGTTCTGAAATAAAAATAATAGTGTGAGGCTTTTGCTTGAGTTTTCTTTCTGAAATGACCCTTGACAGGAACTGGAAATAGTTTTTGTCAATGCAGCCATTATCTCTCTTGTGACCAAACGGGATGTGGGAGGTAGGGTGGAATTTCTGAGTTCTTTGTACATAGGAAGAAAATGTCTGTCATTTAGTTAAAATAAATTATTGATTTTTAAATCAAATCAAAATATTGAGTCAAACAAGCAGGTACTATACTTGAATTTTCCCTTATTTGTAAGAACTGTTTTTCACTGTTTTATGAAGAGTGGGGGAAAATAAGGGGATATAAATAACAAAATCATGTTTTGGGCTTCATGAAACCCAGAAGGCAATTATAGGACACTCTGAAGAAAAAGTTTAAATTACCATCATTTCCCAGGAAAATAAATGATCTACTTTCTTGCCTTATCAGGTAAGCAAGCTGACAAAATGCTTTAAAAACAACTTGAGGATACTTAGATTCCCTTTTCACTGGAAGACTGTGCACAAAGCTCAAATTATTCTTCCTATACCCCAGTGCTTTCTCCTCTTCCTGGGAACAAGGGTGTTAAGTGTCCCCAGCATCACTCAGGGATTGGGCTTGAGAAAGTCTTAGGAGCAAGACAAATGACTGGTTTTGCTGGAAGGGAACTAAAGAAAGCTGGGCATGAATTTAAGTGGAATAATGACAGATCGCCTTAGCAGATCAAATGTTGATTTTCTCCAGGGATTAAGAGATGATGCAATTTGGGATTACTGTATTATTGCTTCTAGATCTGCAAAATATATGTGTACATGGCCTGAGAGTAAAAAAAGTAACATTCATTTCTTGTTTAAATTTCCTCCAAAGCTTTAATTGTTTCAGGAATAAATACACCCTCCTCAACATGAGAATTGGGGGTTTTCTGGCTCTGGCCCCTTCCTACTTACCCTGTCTCTTTGGTGGTCTTTCTCTCCTGGCATTCTATATGACATCAGAAGCAGTGACATCACTGTACTACCCCAGGAATGTGCCTCTCTGCCTTTGAATCTCATTCTACTTTTGTCCAGAATGCTTCCATCTCCCTTATCTTCTTTTATTCCCTAGACTACCTGATAAATCATCATTTAAAACATTCTACTTAGCCCTGAATCTGGGTTGTGTGTACTGTCTATGTGTTCTCAAAATATCTCTTTATTTTTCTCAATCATTATGTTTATCATAGTATATTGTAATAATCAGTTTGACTTTGATTTAATTGGTGCTAGGAGAGCAATGGTCAGTGGCCTATTTAAAAAAGCTCCCTGATGATTCTTATTTACAGCTAGGATTATGACCCATTGAACTGAATTGATAGCTCCATGAAGATAGGACAGTTGACTGTCTAGTTCACAGTTGCAAGTTCATTTTCTAGCTCAGTGCCAGAAACACAGCAATTGCTCAAGAAACATTTGATCTATAGATTAAATGTCTTTGTATCTCCAGTGTTTGTACAATGGTAAGCACAATTGTTTGTGGAAGGTGTAAATGCATAAATATGTTAAATTCTACAAAGATTTCATATATTAGTAAATTGTAGTCCTTGCTGTCACAGAGTTATAGTTGGATAGGAGTGAGGGAAATTCAAGAAACACACCAAAAATTCTGAGATAATCACTTGTGCATATTAATGATGAAAACATATTCAGTGGTTGTGATGATTTCTTACTGAGAATATCTCTCATGGTGAGGATTTTTTCTTCTTCTGAATGTAGACATTTTTGAAATAGTATGGCAATTGTTCACTTGATTGAAGCTTTCAGCAAATTCTGTTTAAGTTCTTTGGCAAACTGCTTAAATCTTATGAGGTCATTCCAGACCATTCGCCTTTCCCTGTTATGCACCAAGGCAGGAAATGTTTTCTCCTTTTTGAAATGAGCAATTCAAGGGGCTGGTAAAGAATGCACATGGCACAACATGCTATCAGCTCCCTCCAGCTGTTTATGGTGCTCTTTTTCATCTTAACAGGGACATCAAGTTCTTTTGGATATTCGTTATGGTTTTATACATAAGACAAAATAAACACTTCCTGTAGGGCTTCAGAGGGTAACGTCACTCAAGTCTTATCTTTCATTTTTCTTCAACAAAAAGAGGAAAAAGTAAGATTTGAGAGAGGATTGCTGTTTATCAGGTTATGCTGTGTTCTGTTGGCATATTTTAAAAATTTCTTTTTGGATTCTGAAAGCAGCAAAACTCCTCACCTTAAATTTCCCCATCTCATATCACTTAATTTTTCATACTGTGAGTGATCATGGCCCCCACCCAAGGTCATCTGAGAACAATTGTACCTTAGTCACTGACATTCTTAAGGTCTTGTTTAGAAGGAATTGTCTGGAGCCATTGCAATTGCAGTCTGACCTGAGTCATCCCAGACTGTGCCAGGGAGGCTAAAGAATTGAACTTTCCCCAAAGGAACTCTTGTTATTGTAGAGAATCTCCAGGATGAAATACACAGTTAGTGCTCAGTGCACATGCACTTTGTCTGGAATTTACCGTCTGAACAGGGACAAACCATGACCTTTTAATCAGGATAGGCTTAGATTGAATTTTTTGTGCAAAGTAAATTTCCTTTTAGTAGAATTTGCCAGAGAGGCCACCCTGTAGAAAGGTCTGATGGCTTAGTGGGAAGACCATGGGCTTTGGAGTCAGACAGACTTAAGTTTAAATCCTATTTCCGCCACGTATTTTGTGAATTCAGTAAGATACTTAACTTCTTTGAAGCTCAGGTTTCTCATGTATAAAATATAATAACCCACTCATGGTGTTGCCATAACGATCAAAAGAGTTAAGACAGATCATGTCCTTGCCTCTGGACAGCACTGAGTACGTCATTTCCTTTGCTTGAAAACTTGCAAATGAATTTCACTAGCAAATCTATAGAAATATTTCTTATCTAAAAGAAATATCATGTCACTGATTTTGGCAAATACACATTTTATTTAGAAATCATAGTTAAAACTATGCTATGTTCTGTAGAAAGAGAAACAGATAGAGTGCCTTCCTACCCCCATTCAGATGTTATAATTAAAACTAATATAGTAAAATATGTAGAGAGCAAAACACACATTTGAATAAGGGAGAGTGGAAGAACATATTGGAAAAGGCACTAAATTCAAAGACCCGACCCTAACCTCAACTCTAGCTGCGGGATGGAAGGCTCACTTATAAAATAAGAATAATAGCTACCTTAATAGTGCTGTTCAGAAAATGAAAGGGTGGAATGTTTGTAGATCTACCTCAACAACATAATAGCACAAAAACTGCATTTAATTCTTAAGAACGGGGTGTATTTCTTCTCCTATTTACCAAAAACAAACTATTTTAAGAGTGAGGAATGGTATACAGTTGGAGAAAGGGTATTTTTTCAAAAGCCAGGGAGGAAGATGGTGGGTTTAGTTACCATATGCTAACTGAGAACAATTTTGCATTTTCTCAGCTGCCCCTTGGAAGCCAGGCTAGACTTCATGTAGTCAGTCCAGGTATTTGCTTAGTGGAGTGATTAGGTGGGGCTGGAATATAGACCTGTCTGGAAATAAGTAATCTTTCATAAACCTGTGTGGCTATGGCATGCTTGTGAAAAGGACTGTAGTGTATAAAACTATGGATGGTAAGACTGAGAATTTAAACAAAATAGAAGTTTGTGTGAACAGCAATAAAAATGATGTGTATGTTTGTTTATTTAAAGATCAAAATTCCTATCAGGTTGTGAAGGCATCTGCTACTAAGACAAACTAAATGTATTGGTATTAACAATTTGCTTCAACAGGTAATTTTTTCCTGACCATCCTTCTTAATTGTTCTGGAACGTTTTTCCAAAAGAGATTCTTCCATGTGTTGTATGTTTTGCAAACTCATTTTGAAGATTTTAGATCTTACTGACTTGTACTTTAACATTTTTTTTTTTTTGCCCTTGTCATTTTTTCATTTCCTCAAACATTGGCAAAATCTTTGTGTAGCCATTCTGTATGGTTCTGGTCTTAATCCCACATCTGAAGGTAGAGCCTAACAGTTCTTCCTTTTACACTAAATGCTTCTGCTCCTTGGAGAGCAGCCGAGGGAACAGTAATGGCCATTGGTCTTTTTTGTTTAAAAGGACTAAATTATAGAAACTATAGATTATACAACAGTAAGACTTTAAATTGCTAAAACTACATGTTCTTATCATTGTAATTCGAAGCCGATATACAATGAGTCACTCATCTGGGTTA